GTTTGATCAAACGTGAACATGGTGGCCAGAAAATCATAAAATTAATTTTTTTTTTTCAAATTTCCCTCAAACGGCGTGTTAAATCCCCCCGTGCACAACACAAATGGATTGAAGCAAAGAGATATTTCGCTTGGTTTGTCAAGCCGCTTTTGTTGTGTATTTCCATATATGAATACTCCCGTAAGTATTACATATATGTGTACTTCGCTCTTAATGCCACTTTTTCAGTGCCAGTTTAAAGAGCGAAATACACAACACAAGCGGCTTGACAAACCAAGCGAAATTTCCCTTTGCTTCAAGCCATTTGTGCTGTCTATGGGGTGTTTGAAGGTTTGACAAACCGCTTGAGGGAAATTTGAGCAAAAATCAAATTTTTTTGATTTTCTGGCCGCCATGTTGACGTTTGATCAAACCGCTTGCGATGTGGATGGTAAAATCGCCTCAATTGCAACTGAAATTTCACCAAGTGAAGACGTAAGGGAGAATAATGGAAGAAAACTAAAATGTTTTACATTGTTAACCGAAAGAAAACTAAAATTCTGTGCTTGAACGACTCATGTTTGCATGGTCTATGGCAAAATGGGAAAAGTATGTTTGACAAGCCGCTTGTGTGGTGTATTTCGCTCTTAAGCTTAGATTAAGTAAATTGACAGCTGGCTGTCATTTGATTGGCGGATCGTAGTTTAAACCAACCAGAACGGGCGTTTAAGCTACGGCCGCGCACTGAAAAACTGGCTCTTAGAGTACAACTCCACAACAAGCTTTTCAGGCGTTCAGCTCAGTGTTGCCGTTTGCTAATTTTCCAGCGAAGTGAAACCACACTAAAATTGAAGTGTTTCGGAGTGACTTCGGAGGGAAAGTGAAGTGATTATTGAAGTTACGACTTTCGACCATAACTAGGGGTGTGGGGTTTTTCGATTAGGTTATTTATCACCTGATTGGTTAATCCATTATTTTTTTATCACAATAAAATTAATCTTTAACCTTTATTAATTTATAATGTTTTTTGTTGTTGTGCAAATTTATTGCTAGAATATCTTTAAAATCACAATGTTTCAAACCTTGAGGAAAGAAAATCAAGAATTATAGTTCACTGATGATATTAACACTAAGATATAATTAATCGATTATCGATTTATGTATGAAAACTAAAATATATTTGTCATTTGCATCAACTACTTACAAAATAATTATGAAACTTTATCCATCCATTCATTTCTGTTCGTTTTACAATTATACATGTGAAAATGAAAATCAAAATGACTTCTTCCAAATAACCGATGCCAGATCGGAGATTTACTTTATTAGGCGTCTTTCTACTAGCTTTTTGCGAAAAGTTACTTTGCCATACTTACTACTTAACACGAATTTCAGCAAAAGATTGTTGATTTTGGTTAAATAAATCAATTATTTCAAAGAAGTTTTTATTTATCTTGGAGATAAATCTTTTATTTATCTGGAGGATAAATCTAAATCTATAAATTTATAAATTTACGTACTTTGGTGAAGTAAAACAAAGTAAAATGAAGTGACAAAGTGAAGGCTTCCAAAGTAAAGTGAAAACCTTCAATTGAAGTGACAGCGGCAGCACTGGTTCAGCGCTTTTCAGGCTTGCAGCTTGTGGTGGAGGAGTTGTACTCCCAAAATTGTTGTCAGCCATTTAATCGCAAAACGTAGGTAAAATTGTACATTAAAACGCTTTACAAAGTGTTTTCATGTTAAATTAACTTTTCTTTAGTTAGAAAAAAAAAATAGAAAATAATAGTGCTCGTGATTAGAGATTCGAATTTCGATACGATACGATACCATATCGATACTTTTGGCATTCAATACCGATATTTTGTACTCGATAGTTTTATAAAAAAAATTTTCGAAATCGAGCACCAGAACCCCGGTATCGTATCGAATATCATAAACTTATATTACAAAGATTATATGATTAACAATTCTTTCCGATATAAATTGGGTTTTTAAAGAGCTTTTGTGTACTATCGTTAGGACTGCATGTGGAGGGATCGGAACCTGCGGTCTCGGTGTTTTAAATCAACACCACGACATCTACGTGTAAAAGTAATATTAGATTGGCGCTTACACAATATATTAGTGTTCCGTCGAGCTTCTCCTCTGATTTGTCGCGCGTATGCGTATGCCTTTCAAATTCACAGTCTTTATTTAACTGTTTAAAAGTACGATCTTTGAAAAGAAAAAAACTAAACTTAGATGATTCTACCTGTGTGTCAGATGTAAAAAGACCTGCATCTGATAACACAAGTTTAAAAACACAAATTTTCTCCTTAATAAATAAACATAACAATCTTATAACAGGTCTTCGTTTTGACCAAGTCGTAGTAAAAAAACACATATTTTTGAAGTTAATTTCTTATATTTTTTCTATTTCCACGTTGGATAGATTGGGTACTGGTATTTGTTTTGACGGACCCGATTCCGGATTCAATCGCTTTAGGGTCGTACTAGAACGGTCGGAGGTTTTAAAATGATTCTCAAAAATTGGTGGCAAAAACATGGGGCAAGATAGCTCCCATTGTTTTTTTTTAAATATTCGTCGTTCGGTGCGATGAACACGCAACACTCTTGCCTAAAAACCACGTATGCGGCATTATAAGTTTTTTCGCTTTCTATATTTCTTTTTTGTTAATATTTTCTTGTAATCACGATTTCAAAAAAATAAAAATTAAATTCAAGCTACCAAAAAAGTTAAAAAAGTAACAACAAATTTCAAAATTTTAACTAACACACTCAAGCAATACGGATATGACATTTCATGTCATTACTTGGCGTACGCCTACGCCACGGAGACAAATATCAGCGTAACCAATACGTATTTATTTAGTCTTGACAGCATTGTCCAATGTAAACACGGCGTTATTCAAAACACTTCATTTCACGAATTAAGGCGGTGCATTAACGGTACCATTTTTGAATTCATGAAATGAAGAATTCATGAATTCGGTCGCATTTTCATATATTAATATTATTTTATATCCAAAATTTATATTTTCCATCGCATTAAAATTTGCCTTTCAATATATTCTAGCTTGAAATGTTGATCTGGCAGTTCGCCATTCCAGTTGATCTATTACATTCCCCCGCTGAATGGAAGGTGCATACGACAGCTTCAGCGACAGCTAACGGCGGCGCCATTTCAAATTTTTCAGTTCTTGCAAAAGGGCTTTTGTGTGGATTCCTGCATATTTTTTCCATAGCTGTTGTGTTTATTCTTTAAATCTGTGTTAATTTTTAATATTTAGTGAGAGAGCCATAGCCCGGAAATTATTTCCATTAGAAGCCGTGATAAATTTTTTACAGAAAAATCAATAATCGTATTTGGGTTAAAAATCTTTAAATTAAATAAACACATAATGGCCGACGCAGATAACGTACGCGTTGCGGTGCGAATTAGGCCGCTCGTGTCTTTGGAACGTGAGCGTGGTTGTCAGGAGGCTGTGGAGCGCGTCGGTGATTCCTCACAAGTAATAGTCAACCGTACAGAAACATTTACCTTCAATTATGTGTTTAATGCTCATGATACACAAGAATATATATATGATGTGATTGTGACGGACCTATTGGACAAATTTTTCTCGGGTTTTAATGCCACAATACTTGCATATGGCCAGACTGGATCTGGAAAGACTCACACGATGGGCACAGCCTTTGATGGGGAGTTGGATGAAAATGCTGGCGTTATACCACGTATAATGCGCGACATATTTGAGCGCATTAAAAAGTTGGCAGAAGAATACGACTTCGTTGTCAAATGTTCTTTTATGGAGTTGTACCAGGAACAACTATACGACTTACTATCGGACCAGGCACGCGATCATGCTATAGTGGAGATGCGTGAAAATCGCAATGGTGTTATCATGCCTGGGCTGACTGAAAAGCAGGTGACATCGGTGAACGAGACAACTAATTGCCTGTTGCGCGGGTCTGCAGGACGCGCTGTGGCGGCTACAGCAATGAACGAGCAATCCTCACGGTCACATGCGATTTTCACTATCACGGTTGAGGCTACCAAGAAAGATGAAGCGTATGTATTTTTTTTTACTAAGATCGTACTGTTGGATGTAGTTGTAGTAAATATTGATTTAAACGCATTATTCTTTACCCTTTCTGCACAGGAACACAGTAACTACCTCCAAGTTTCATTTAGTTGATTTGGCTGGGTCGGAACGTTCAAAGAAGACACAAGCCACCGGTGACCGCTTCAAAGAGGGCGTAAAAATAAATCAGGGTCTTTTGGCTTTGGGGAACGTAATATCTGCACTTGGTTGTAAGTACTGTTTAATTTTAATTTTAAAGATAACTTCTTTACTTAAATATAGCAAACGGAATGAATATTTTCTAGGCAGGAATTGAACATTTTCTTTAACAAAAACAATTAATACAAATCCATGGCGCAATAATAATAGTAGTTTTTCAACAAGTACAAATGGATTTTCGTCTCTTTATTGTAGTATTCCGAAAGAATCTTAAATTTTACTACTACTTTTTTGTTTCATCACCTATGTTATGTAAATTCCTATAGAAGAATTTATCTTCAAGTTTATTAAGAAAATTAACTTATCTCGTTATTTCTTACAGCTGGTCAGGGCTCTGGTTTCGTTCGTTATCGTGATTCTAAGCTGACTCGTTTGTTGCAAGATTCTCTTGGCGGCAATTCGATCACACTTATGATTGCCTGCGTTAGTCCGGCCGACTATAATGTTGCCGAGACCTTAAGTACTCTACGCTATGCAGACCGTGCCCGAAAGATTAAAAATAAGCCAATCGTTAACCAAGACCCTCATGCCGCTGAAATTAATCACCTCAAAAGTATCATACAGAAGTTGCGTGTCGAACTGTTGGCCGCGGGGGGTGGCACCACCACAATGAGTAGCTCCCTTAATAGCGCACTGCAAAGCATGCCAACGCCCCCTGTAGGCGCTAGCATTTCAAATGTCAATGGTGAAATTGCAAAAAAATATCAAGTGCTCCAAGAAAAATATCACACCCTTCAGCAACAATTACAAACCACTCTCCACGATGTAGCAGAACATGAAATGCGTGCTCACCTCACAGAGGAGGCACACGAAAAGCTAAAAATTCAACTGAACGACCTCAAGGCAATCGCAGTAGATTTGGGGAAAAACTACAAACTGAATGCGCCCACAGAAGAGCAGGAAGCCACTGCAGAACGCATCAAACAATTGAATCAGTTGGTGGACGGTCTAGACGGGGAATTAGAACGCACTCAGGCGGAAATAGAAAATCACAAACGTGCTACGATGAATGGCAGCATTGGCGGTGGAGACGAAGAAGATACCAGTGGTGCACTCCTTGAAGTTCACTCCCAAATGCAAGAGCAAACTGATGCATACACCCACATACAAATGGACTTCAAAGAACAGTTGAGGCGCATCAATCGGGAACTCAACCTAAAAGAAGAGCTGCATCAACGCGTTGCTGGAAATTTAGTTAAATTCTGCACTCTGGAAGACAATAACGAAGAGAAGTTCAAGGAATGTGAGAAAAAAATACAAGAGCTTGAAGACGAAAGAAATCAGTTGCTTGACAAATTGCGTCATGTTAAAGAAAATGCTTCCGCAAAACTGGCAGAGGAACGCCGCAAGCGCCTACAAACACTCGAACAAGAGATCAGCGAAATGAAACGAAAGAATATGCAACAAGCCAAACTGCTAAAGGTGCGTGAGAAGGAGACGCAGAAGATACAGAATCTGCATACAGAAATACAGGCGATGAAAGAGTCTAAAGTAAAATTAATACGCGCTATGAGACAAGAGTCAGAAAACTTCCGCCAATGGAAAATGTCCAGAGAGAAAGAACTGATCCAGCTGCGCAACAAAGATCGTAAACTAAAGAACGAAATGGCGCGAAAGGAAGCATTGCACACAAAACAACGTAATGTTTTGAAACGCAAGTGCGAAGAGGCTCTGGCCATCAACAAACGGTAAAAATTCCCTGTTCCCTAAGTTCCTCCTTTTATCGATACTTACATTCTTCTTTTTTTGCTTTTTTGCAGGCTTAAAGACGCAATCGACAGACAGCGTGCCGCTCAAACTCAACGACAAAAGACTCACTCGTCAAAAGATGGAAATACGGCTAGTAATAAGATCGATCAAGTGATTTCGTTGGTTGAACGTGAATTAGAGGTAATTGTTTCGTTCATCGATGCGGAACACACACTGGAACAGTTGATGGAAGATCGTGGCATTATTAGCGCTCGCATTGCAGAATTACAAAATCAAAAACTCGCACCAGGCAGCGTCCCATCCCAAGAACTGCCAACGCTTAAAGAAGATCTCGAAATGCGCAATGCACAGATAACCGATTTGCAGCAAAAAGTATACACGGTCGATCTTGAGGGGCGCATGCGCTCCTTGTACGATAACATACAGAACGTTGCCGAGGCGCGTGCTATGATGCGCCAATTGCTCAAGTCGATTTCGGTTATGCGACGCGAACATGCCGTTCGTTTGCAGGAACAAAAGATGGCCTTAGATGAGCAGACTGCGCTGCGAGAGTCAGCCGAGCAAGCAAGCGCAGTAGCAACTAAACGTATGCGTCTAATGGAGTTGGAACACGAGGAGGCCATTGCCGATCGGGAGAATACATATGAGGATAAAATAGCAGTACTTTTGAGAGAATTACATAATGCACCACTGCTGGCTGTAGGCACGGGTGACAAACTAACACCAGAACAGGAGGAGCGATTCAAAATCCAAGAGGAACAATTGAATAAAATGGAAGCGATGCGCGAGGAATTGGAGGAATACAAACAAATGGTAAATGAGTTGAAATTAGCGGTGCAAGCGAAGGGTACACGCAAAACAGAGGTTTTCAAAAAGGTGAGCAAATGGCTGCACAGGGGGTTGACGCACACAAACTAGATGAGTATCGTTGTTGTTTGCAGCTAAAATCAAATCCAGAAACTGTAGTAATTACTGATGAAATCTTCCTTTCGAGTGAAACCGACACCGACGACGACCACCGTGATCCGGACTGGGGAAACACGCCGGCAGTTAAACATGCCAAACGATTACACCCTGTAAGTAAATTTATGCCCCGTTAACATATTAATTATTACAGTTTTCTCGTGTGCGTTACATCTAACAGCGTAACACCAAAAACACGACCAAAAACACTAGCTCCGGCAATGAAACACTCACTACAGAAGCCGTTGACACCGAAGTGAAGTTGATGCAACAAATACAACAACAAGAAGCGAAGCTCAATGTAGGAAAAAGGAAACATAAGTCTTGCAAATGTCGTGTTGGAGGTTGTGTTACCAAGCGTTGTGGATGTTCTGCAGGAGGTGTTAAGTGCACAGAAAAGTGTTTATGCAAAGGTTGCAAAAATCACGAACAGGGTGACATCAGTGAAAACAAAGAGAATGACGGTTCTTTCATTAGCAATAGCACTGACAATAGTCAACAGCAGATCAATGAGCAGTCGCTGGAGCGGACACCGCCCAAAGCTAACGTTTCCGATAGCATTGATGAAAGCAAGGATTCTACTTTTGTAAAGCCCAACCCCGCCTATCTAACACCGAAAATGGCCAGGTAATTGATGATTTACTTTCCGCTTAAATTACCTACATACATATTTGCATGTTTTAGTTTTCATTATAATTATCTTTTGGCAGTGAAATTTGCAAAATCATTAATCGATAATCGTTCTGCCAAGCCAAAGTAAAAAATTCTCGGTGAATTTGGGCGTTTTTTTTTTCTAAAAAAAGGTTGTCTTTTCATTGCCCTCTCCTTAGTGTTTGTGTGACGAGGGCAATGCAAAGGTAACATTTTCGTTAAAAAGAAATCGCGATTAAAATATACATACATAGTATATGACATAGAGACTATGGTTTATGAGAGTTATTTCAACACTTTCTGTGAACAGAAAATTGGGTTATAGAAGACTCGAACTATCCATGCAACATCGCAAACAAGTCCCTCAGTTTTAGATATATCCACTGGAATTTGGTTCGGTTGCTTCTTTAAACTGATGTTCTGATACGAGATTTTGCTTTAAAGCTCCTTAACTTAAGCAGGCAGCCAACATGAAATTTCGCGGTTTTTTCACTTAAAGTGAGGTATTCAGGTAGGTTCTGCAATTCAATTCCAAGTGAATTTCTAACTCGCTTTGAATTCAAATGCGCAGGGGTTGAAATGCACCCGGAAGTGCAGAACCTGCCTGATTGTTCTCATATCTTACACCCTTTTCAAAAGAGGTTCAACTCGAACATCATTACGATATGTACTATTTGCTTTGCCGTCATTGAATTGCTCATTTTTTGCCGGTTAATGCATAGTTTTGGCTTAACAGATAAAAAAAAAAAAAATTCCCACTCCATTCAAGTACATATGTATTTCTTAAATCATTGGTTGTTCATTTTCACCTATTCGCTTATGTAAATAGTCCAACTGTCGTTACAAGATACGCTCGTTTTTTAATTATTCTATACCTCTAATAAAATTAAATTTTCTTTTTTTTTTGTTTTCAAATTTGGTCCGTACTTTCAGATTATCCACGATATCCTTCGATTTGCCTTCTTCCAAGAAGAAATTTTTCGAGTGAAGACGTCTCAAACTACAATATGACTAGACTTGTTGCAAATCAACCACAATTTAGGTTGAGGGAGGAACTGATTTTCATTCATATTATTTTCATTTAATATTTTAATTAAGGTTTTTCCATAGCTCTTAATCTCTACATTTCGCATGTCGGCATTTACTGCATCGTTAAATACATATGTACACATTTTTTAGTTATTTAAGGCCCAATGCAACTAATGCCCCTCCTCCAGTCACCTACAATGTGATTGCTCTCGCTATGGTAAACAACAACAATAATTACATTAAGCTGTAAACCTCTTTAGCCAAAAACAATTATATAACAGAAATATTATTTTCCTTATCTATGTATATTTTGGGCAAATTAAAAAAAAAAAAAACAAATACAAATACTTTGAATATATGAGCAAACTATTAAGCAAAATACATAAAAAAAATGAGAAATCAACAAAATAAGTACATTTTCAATACTAAGCTAGCTTATTAGTACATACTTTTATGTTCGTTCACGTTTACTTGTACTTTTTATCCCATTTACGGTAAATGTTCTCAGTTTTTGATCATTCTCATATTTATGTATTGTTATTGTACTTATATACATGTATTATTTTAATCATATTAAAAAATAGCTTACGAAAAAGCCTCTTATGTCTTACGTAATAAAACACAATTATAAATTACATAGATTCTAAGCATATTTCTTTATTCATAATTTCAACATTTCAAACAAGTGGACAAGGATATGGTTGGTTATTGCGGCAGCAGTACTCTTTTCCAGCCGCTAAATTTGTATTGAACCACTGATTTCGACAGTTCTTGATGAAGAGGTAGGCACGCTCTTTTCGGCAGTCACGATTTAGGGTTGCGCACAATATATTAGCCGAATTGGGCAAATGCTGCACTATCTACTGGAAGAATAGGTGTCTCATATAGGTCACATTAAATTTTATGCATACTTACAGATTCAAGGCACTTGGTTTGACATTGTTTCTGACCTACGGCATTACAAGGAAAGGTGCGGTCTAATTCGTTGGTTATCACTGGTGCACCCTCTGGTTGTTCTTTTGAGCTCCGCTTAATTTGTGATGTAAGGAAGACGCCGCAAGTACATGGCACGGGGCGGCCACTTTCGGTTGTTGTTGATGTTGTCCTCTTACTGGATTTCGTTGGCGAGCTGCGAGTGCCTTGTAAACGGGGTGCAATTAGTAACTCTGGTGTTGGCATTGGGAAGAGTTCTTCAATTTCGTCATTTGCCTCTACATGAGTGACAACATGGGTGCTGCTCTGTGCTTCAGCATCATCGGCGAAATCGCATAGGCCTTGCTGCTTGCATAATTGCTGCTGTGCTTCCAATGTGTTATTCACGACTGGCTCTACATGGGGCAATAAATCTACATCTGCTGCTGATGAACCCATTCCGTTTATCACCATATAAGGCAAATGTGCTTCAGTTTCGTCCTCCAGTCGTTTATCCATAAAAGCCGGTTCTGTATCGGGTACTCTAATGGACGCCTCTGTGCCAACACTGTCAATGTTTCTGTCTATAATTGTCTCGTGTGCGATCAAATCAATCTCTGTTGGTATTGGCGTTGTTGTTTCTTCCATTGTGGGTTCTGTGGGCGCTGGGGCCTGTGCCATTGTGGGAATGGTGCTAGTGGTGGTCGTAGTGCTGGTAGCGGAGCTTGTGTTGGTACTTGTCCCGGCGGCTGCAAAGATGGGCACTTTCCTGCTAAAGTCCGGCTTTAACTTGTAGCGTCTATCCTTAAACAGATTTGCTTTGCCAAAGATCGGTTTCTTGTATGCAATTTTCATAGTGCCTGCTTCCACATCCTGACTTAAACTGGAAATCGCGAATGCTAGTGCTAATAAACTTAGTGTTGTCACACCTAGGCTCCTTAAAAATACTGCAATTGTTAAAAAAGCATTTAGTAATTAGTTGCAATTTTAATAAAAGAAGTATGTTTACCCATTACGCTGTTTGCACCTCTTCGCTCCCAGTGTTTCAAAATTATGCTCATCCCATAGTGTACTCCGCTGTTTAAATATCTTGTATGTCTTTGGTTTAATTTGTAATAGCAGTATTTTGAATTCGGTTGTACTAAGCATATTTTTTCCAGTAGTTTACATTTTTCTGTCGAGTCTGCAAGGTTGACTTACGCGTTTTCTATGGAATATTTGGTCGGTGACTTCGGCCAAGAAGTTCAAGTGTAGTGTAGTTGTTCTGAAACTGGGTCAAGTTTGAAACGAAAATAGTTTTTTTTGTTAATATGCATAATGGGAAAGTTTTTAAAGAGTAGCTTAAAGCGGATTATAAGTCTCAAGTAAAGAAGTTTATATGTATTCCATTGGCAATGGCTCGGTTTCAAGGGTATTAGAACCCAGTTCAAAGTCACTTAGAAAAAATATACACGGTTTTGTACTTTAACCGACGATATGTACATATTAGAGGGCTGCATGAATTCATTCATATACAAAACGAATGAATGATTTTGGCTTCACATTTTTTTTTTTAACTTGAGTGAATACCTGTTCTGATATATGTGTCGACATTGCAATATTCATACAAAGGGCAAAAAAATTGAGTTGAAATAAAAGACAATTTTTTGTATGAATATCCAAAAATACTTTTTCTATGCACTTATATATGTATGTACAAACATAGATATATACTAGAGGGTTGCATGAATTCATTCAAACTTTTAGCTAAACGGAGTACTCAGCGATTTCATGTGAAAAAGAAAATTCGGAATCTTTATGCTCACACCCTTTAGGATTGTTCTATAGCGAAAAAATAAACCCAATTCTTTTTATTTTGAAATTAAATTTATTATTATTTTTTAACAATTTTTTCTTAGTAAATAACTATATTTTATAGGTTCGCCAAAACCCCAAGAAATGCAATACAAAAAATCCTTAGTATTAAAAAATTGTTAAACCAAAGAACGTAAATGTATAAGAAGCGACAACTCGTTAAAGTCGGCGAGTGAGGTCTGAAAGGTTGAGATGAGGAGTTCGCGTCCGTTTTAACATCCATTTTCGTAAATGAATTCGCCGCACATATGGTTTCGCGGCGATAAAGAACGTTAAGAAAAAGTGACCGATGATAGAAATAATCAAATGAAATGAAAAAAACATGGCCGCAGCTCTTTTTGTTTATTTGCTGACGGCATTTAACAATTTGCATGCGCATGTGCATAGATTTACTTTATTTTATAATTTTAAACAAATATAAGTAAATTATTTACATGCGCTATGCAAGACCTTTATAAGCTTCCTCCTTAGTATGGAAGTTGTAATTTATGGATGAAATTACCCTTTTTATTCAACCAAATGTACATTTATAATCAATAAACTTATTAAATATACTCATGCGATTTCCCTCCAAACATATCACATTCATGCAAATACGCGTACGTACATATGTATGTAAAAGCGCATATGCGACTAAAATACAACAATAACAATTTCATTCATAAACGCATGCGCATATTCTTCAAGGTCAAACTCATTCATTCATAAATTCAATTTCCACACATCTCCCCGCAAGCGCATCGCCTACAAGCGCAACCTCTTCGCGAGGGCCACAAAAATTCTAAAATGTAAAATTGAAGAAACCACAGCCAGCCAAATGAAAAGTGGCAAGTCCGCAGTAATATCTGCAAAAATAGCCTATCTCGTGTTAAGCCATTTTTTCTCTAAACTTTTAAATCGCAGCACTTCTTCAAACTTGTATATTATCAATTAGTTGCTTAAGATTTTAATTTAACAAAAAACAAAATAAACATGAATTTTTTGCACAAATGACCCATGATATTTTGTTGTAAACTCAAAACTTCTGAAATCACATACATAAGTGGTTTTACAACAAATGTAATTTGGCAACATGGTTGCCTTCACCAGCTTCGGTCATCAATTTTAAAATTTTTGTAAACCGATCGCTTACGATTTGTTTACAGTTGACTCTAGATACTACGGAGCAACATGTAAAAGAATTAAAAAAATTTAATTATTTTGCATTATTGATAATTGCGAAGCTATGAAGCATGTATAAGTGAGTGTATACATACATACCTATTCTGCGTTGGTAACACAAATATTGTTTACTATCACGAAAAGATTCAAACACAAAATCGTACATTAACCTATTCTGCGTTAGTAATCAGATTTTTTTAGCGCATAATAAAGCTCCTCTCTTTGTTTAAACCCTTTTCGCATTCTGCGCACTTTTGTAACCAGTAAAATTTGTTACCATGAACCAAAAATACAAGATCACGTAAGAACGCGGCGTTGTATTTGTAACTGGTTTTGAGAAAAAAGTTTGCGAAGGCGGGTTCGTCAGCTGAGCGTTTGTTTACATCACAAGCACCACTATTTTACACTTTTATTCAAGTAAAGAAGAGTTAATTCAACATGACAACACATTTTAAATCATTTTGTTGCATAATTTTACCTAAATTGTGCGTTTAAAGTGGCTGACAATAATTTTGGCTAATTTTGGTTTTCGTTGTTTTCTTTGCTTTGTTTACTTTTCGCTCGTTTTCCAGTGAAACAAGATGGCGTAGAACCCGCTAAAAAAAATCGACTTTTTTCACTCCCTTGTTCTTACGTGATCTTGTGTCTTTCGTTCATGATTTGTTACCATCTCATAAGCAGGTAACAAAATATTGCCCCATGAAATATGCAACAACAGAATTTCTACAAAACTTCATACCTGGAATGCTGAATAAATTAAAACGTTACCTATAATTGCGGTTACAAGAAGTGCTAACAATGCTTGGTAACAAAATTTGCTGGTTACAAAATATTCGGTAACAAGCAGATTAGAGCTACAGGAATTCAAGTTAGGAGTGGCCTACTGTAAACGTACATATGTATGCGCGTAAATATGTCAGGACGCGGCATTTTGCAGGAATTTAAGAATTTGTCAAGATAAAGATGGCGGAGGACGTGGGAGAAACGGAGACAACTTATGTTTCACATTTACGCGTTTGTTTTGGCGGAGGATGTGAGAAAGACGGAGACAACTCATGTATCACATTTATGTGTTTATTTTTTGCATGCATATGAACAAAAAATTGGAAAACATTTGTCCAATCGCCCGACACATAACTTTTTTTGCACACTTTAAATATGTAAATTTCCAGATGAAAACAAAACATAAGTACACTCATATATAAATGCATAGATTTCTTATTAAACTAATGCATTTTTATATAAAAGTACGCTGATCTTGTTTAAAATAATGATCACTTTTATCCACATACACCGACAATCGACACTTGTTGATGAACACTTTGCACTCACAAACACCTTTTTATTATTAATATAGACACTTTCACATACAAGCACCTCCGTATTTTACACAAGCACTGAATATTCTATATTTCACACCATAATTTATATATTTTCTAAATTAAATTGCATATTTTCAACCACTTGTGCAAATAACCACAGAAATTCACACACATTTGCCGCTTTTCTTCTGTTTTGCTGGCATATTCCGCATTCGAGGCGAAAATCAAAAATCTGCCGCGGACAGAGTCAAAAGGGAGACGAACTCCTCATCTCAACCTTTCAGATACGGTCAAAATCGTCCCGGCACATTTTCAAAGTAACGAGTTGTCGCTTCTTATACATTTACGTTCTTTGATACGAACTACCAGCTCTTCGCCACCATCTTTGAACAGCTCAGCCCGCATATTTTCAAGTAGCTGAAAACGTAAATGAATATACCGCACTTTTAACTCAATTGGGAGCGAATCTGGTAGCACCACTCATCACAGCTATGACAGTTCCTCCCCAATTCAATCAGCTGATTGCAGCCCACGAAAACAAAAGAAATGCAGATCACAATTCCAATTTGTCAGTTAAACTTGTAAAATTTATAGCAATTACCAAATATAATCTGCAAAATCCGTATCAAATCATAAAGTTGATAACACTGGATTCTAAAAGGTGACAAGCGTCATATAAAAACGAAAAGAAAACAAGTATTAATTTTAGGTTATTCCATCAGTAGCACCAGAGAGGAAGAAGAATCTCCTGAAATGGAAATAATAAAAGTCAGTGGTTACAAAGCATTCCGTGAGATTGTGGAAAAGTTGACACATGAAAGGAGCAACCAAATAAATGTGTATTTTACTGGTGAGAAGGATGCGACTGGAAAGAGTTGGTGCCCTGATTGCAATGACGGTGAGTTGTTTGTCTGAAATGGTACATCATTTTACCTTTTATAAACTACATAAAAATAAATCTTACAGCCGAACCCTTTGTGTTGTCTGCATTGAAGCAACATGCTGATAAGAACTCAGTGTTTGTTGTTGTTGATGTTGGGCCACGCGCATTGTAAGTTGATTGAAAAGTATCTACGCTTGTGTATTTAATATTGTAACCATTGAATATTTTGTTTCTCTCATTATGCATACGTAGTTGGAAAGATATGAAAAATCCTTTTCGTAGCGATTCGGTTGCACCGATCTCTGTCATACCCACATTACTGCGCTGGAAATCGCCTGCACGCTTAGATGGCGAACAATGCGCGAAACCGTCCCTGCTGGAAATGTTCTTCACTGAGGATGTTGACTAAATTCAGATTTTACTCTTAGAAAAATTAAGTATTTTTTTTTTAACTGGAAAATAAAACTGAAAAACAGAATAACTGTTTATAAAAACCTTTATCATTTGAAGAAGAAAATTGTGTAGGTACATAGCACGCGCCACCAACTGTCCACTTGGATACCGCTCCAATATAAATGCGTTATTAGAAGGCGGTAACCAGGTAGTACTATTTGATTTCAATGCGGACCACGAACTCTAGCACCCCAATCTGGGCAATGACCAGCGGGGTACAATGACCCCCGCCAGGGTCGCGGATGATTCTTACAGCTTGCCAGATATAACAATAACTAGCGACCACGTTCGCATCAGACCACCTGCCCAGAGTAGTCGCCATCATCAAAAAAGCAGCCGCCCGCTTCATACCAGCGGCGGGATTCGCAGACGTGCGTGAATGAATCCGCCAGGCTAATCTAGGGCATCCCCGTATCAGGGATATTAGAAACCTGACCAACGAACATAAGCAGAAAGCGTAGAATGAGTATTTCAAGAGAGAGATAAAGCCCGTCGCTGTGAGGTACGTAAAACACACCAACTTCGCCCCCGATGTAACAACCAACGTGCCTCACTACAGAAGAGACGCAGGCAGCTGTTCATGCAGATGCTGAAAAGGCGACGACCTGTGATAGTCGAGTATATCACAGTCGCTTTCGAACTTATCTCTATCTACCCTGATCATTGCCGAAGTGCGGAAATTACAGGATAATTTCCCTTCTCAAGCCAGTGCAGAATGCACCTCAAGCTAGTCGGACACCATCATGGATTTTGGAAAATGCACAGTACCACCGCAATATTGAACATCATCACAACATAAAACAACATCTACCATGTTAGAGGACGGCCCTAGCCGCAGTTGACCTGTCCAAGGCATTCGGCAAGGTGAACAACGCGACCCTCTGTCGACGGGAACACGTCGTTCCCACGATAGTCGGGTCTATGTAACCGGACCCAGATTTATATCTGTCCAAGGACTGTCACTCCAGCAACAACACTCCCCAAAAGACTCTTTGGAGAATTTGTATTCTGTTATAACAACAACAACCCTCTGTCAAGACGTTCTGGACTCGTCGTTTTCAGCTCGTATGAAACTGTGGATAACCAGCTATCTGTGTGGACGCCCTCAAAGCGGTGTACCCTCCCCGAAACTGCTTAATCTCTACATGGCGAAACTCCCTTTGCCGCCGGCTGGAGTCATCTTGGTAAGCTACGCTGATGATGGCCACGGGCCCAAACATTGACAGCCTTTACGAGAAAATAACCGACTCTCACCGATCTATTAAATTACTTTACTATTAGATATCTAAACATCGCCGCGAAGATCAGGCTCGCAATATACGTCTTCGTCTATGACGCCAAAATACTGAAAACCAACCAACCTAAATGCCTGGGAGAGACGTTTGCCAGCCCATTCTCTGCGGACGCCTCAGCCACCTGCATAAAATTACGAGCTAAGAACAAAGTCCTCAAGCCGCTGGAGACAACACTCTCCGCTTACAAAACAATGGGATGGTCAGCGGCAAATTATGCAGGACCAATCTGGTCCGAAGCAATGGTTGACACGCAGTGGAGAAATCTACAAACACCACCAGAATGCAGCTCTACCTACGGCTATAGGCTGCCGTCTCATGTCGTACCATCATCACCTTCACGAAGAAAGCCAGATGCTGGCGGTGAAATAACAATATATACCATGTTATAGAAGTAATTCCTTGTGGGATGTTACCGTGGAAATTACCCCAAAAACGCTGTACTTCAGAACAATATGCCAAGTCGAGGCTCTTCCATGTAGTCCCGTTTGGTTGTGTCGCCTGGAACTAGGTTATTTTCGTCAGGTTTTTTTAATTTTGTCCCAGCATTTTTTTTGTTTTCATGTCGGTCTGTTCTTACGGTCGCCCGCGCTGTCACTGCGCAAGAGAAAAGCCAAGGATATAATAGCGCCGGGTTGTACCGAAACCGAGCCTGCCGATACAGCCATCTATCGAGTAGAAATAGTCAGTCCGTTATGGTAGCGCCCCGTGCCATGGTAAGGGCATCGTTTATCACTGAGGCGATGCGGTATCAGCAAAACTCGTTCAGTAGATGCGGTCCGCTCCGAACCAGGATTATACATTGAAATTGTGGAATTTATCTATGGTCAAAACTTACAAAGATAAGAGAAATATGGGCTTTTTTTTATTTTACCCGATAAAAAATCTCAACAAGCCAGGTCCAAAAATAGATTATTATACACCATTTTAAAGGCCTATATATCCTCTTCTCAGATCATATTCGATCTTTGAAATCGACTAAAAAATAGTCATTCAAAAACTCATAAATCTACCAAATCTTCTAAATGAACTTTAAAAAATGTACAAAAATAGGCAAAAATATTTCTCATAAAGTATTTTCGATATGCACCCTAATGTACATACATATATCTAGGAGCGCATGTGTGTTTTATTGTGATTGAACAGAAACTTTGCCCTATTCGCCTTAATGTGAGTCTGTTGTTATTAATTTGAGCGTTATTGCATCACGTGAATACATTTTAATTCAAACAAAACAATTAGCACTTTATTTGCAAATAAGTCGCATGGCATTTCAATTTATGCATCGTAGTTTCAATGACGCTACAAGTTTCTTGTTGAGGTTGTTATTGTTGTCGTATTATATGCCAGTTGGCAGCGGTATATACAAGTTAAACGCAGACAACTGCTCGCCAATGGCGCCCGGGAATGTCATTGGTGGCCTGTGTTCGAAGATAAACGGCTAGCTCCACGATCTATGTATATGCGCCCTTTTTTTTATATAACAAATCGCCCTTGGGCAAAAAAGGGCGAGCTGTAGCTAGGTATCCAAGACGATGGCAATCCGATAATTGTAAAGGTCAGCGGGGGGCTACTCTGTAATACGCTGTGGAAGATTGCCTATCGTCAATTTCTCAAAGCACCGAACTCCAGACGGGATGCCGACCAATGACGCACTTCTATTGTGAGTCTTTGACGTTTCTTGCTAGCGAGCACAAGCTTATGATTTGTAGACAAATCCTGGTCGGTTTCTATCGCAGGAAACACCTAAAAAAATATTTGTTCTCTCCTCACAAAGACTTCTCATCTAAGTTCGTCAACGTTCACGTGATGAGAGATTTGTAGGGGCGTTTCTGTTCGTCGATACAGGGATTTGCTTTTCAATTGCCTATCGAGCCCAAAGTACCACCTGCTGGCTAGAGTTTTGCTTAGCTTGAATTCCATGCTGGTATTATTGGTAATATCTTGCCCTAGCTCACCGCTAGACCAATCTGTTTCGCTTCTGTTTCTAAACTGGAAAATGCTGCACAGACGTCTCTGGATTTCAGGCCGACGATGTCAATATCATCCAAAGCCATCATAAGCCAGCGTGATGATGCTGTATATGGTACCGTTGCAATTTAGGAGGCTTTCTAGAGTGAAATTGAACAAGTCGCACGAGGCCGAATCGCCTCGTCTAAAAACTTGGTTAGTCTCAGCTATTGTCTTGTTTTTGTGTTCCTTTTAATCTGTTTTAAATCTACTTAATTTAAGAACTAATCGTAGCAGATTGTTGTGTGTAAAATAGCCAAGGTGCTCGTCTCTCAACACATCGCGACCACAAACCTCATGCCTACCCTTTTCAAAGGCGGGACAGAGACAGAAAAAGTGTTTCGGCGTCTCACATCCTCTTCAAGCCAGCAACGGCAAATGGGGTTGGCATGTATGCCGATCACAATCAGGTGTTTGTGCCAGCTGAAGTGTCAACAACCTCACAAGTACTCTGCCGTCCAATCTACTCAATGAAAAAAATACCTCCGAGATTCTGGGAAAAATGAGTTTCGCCCACCTGCATCCTCTTGAAGCCTCCCATTAATTGCTGATGAAATATACACCCAGTTTCTGATGGTGGCTTCGAATACCTGGTCTCTGCCTTATTACCAGATACTCCCGAATGACCTGGAGTCCAGAGTATGACAAGCTTGTTATATTTTCGAACATAACTTAGTCCAGCCTTGTATTTTTGAACCAGGCCGGAAGTATTCAGAGGGCTGACTAATGCCTTCCGCGCAGCTTGGCTGTCATCGCAGACATGTACACTCCTGCTTCTCCACCTATTTTACATCACTTAGTCCATGGAATGGATGATTGCAAATACCTCGGCTTGGAATATCGAGGCATATTTTCCAAGAGAAAAGTGAAGCTCATCCCCATTATCTTCATTATAGACACCAGATCCTGACCCAGTGCCAGTTTTGGAGTTATCAGTATAGATTCGACAGTGTGTGAGCTTGGGCTCAATATTGGAATCAAGCCAAGCATTCAGCCTAGGGAAACTCAAGCTTGTAGAATATTCTCAGCAAAGGTGGCGTACTATTCTGAGGCATTGAAAAGACACTTATGTCTAGATACCTACTACCAAAAGTCTCCGCTTCGCCCCACTCAGTATCATTATCTTACCAACATCTACTTCTTTTAAGCCTGCAGGTGACCTTTAAGGCCTGCCCATGTACAAAGCGATGGTAAGTGCAAGAGCAGCGCCAGGCGTTGTAGAGCAAGTTCCCGTAGAGCAAGAGCACACGCCGACTATTTTTTGAAGCGGATTTCTCACGCTATTGGTTGACAGCTTCTTCAGGTGTAGATCCAGAGAATACCCCAAGGCCTATTTAGATTGCCGAAATGCCACAAATGATTTGGAGGTCTTATGCTCAACTTGAGACTTCCTTCAAAGTTTGGCATCTGGAATTACTCCTACATAGATACTTAACTTCGGGAGATTTGAATTATGACTCTTAAGTTTACTGGGAATTAAACCATCCAACCTTCCCCTTGTAGTGAAGAGCAAATCAGGCAGGCAGGCCAAATCATCTGCACTGGCCTGGACGTATAAACGATAGTCGGAGTAAGAAGAAGGGAATCAATTACCAAGCACCACACCAAAGGGGAAAGCACGCCGTCTTGAGGCCAGCCTGAATCATTACTTACCGATTAAAAAATATAAAATTTGCAAATCAAACTGCATGCTTTCTACTTGAATGACTTAAATTTCATCACCCAGACGCCTC